CAATCTTTAACATAAATTTAGGAATATTAATTTTAAGATAGGATTCATACAAGGTTGAAATATCTCTCCGTCTCTAACAATCTCTTCCACTAAATTATTCTAGAAATCTAAAAAATTATATTTTTGAAAATTTGAAGTGTTATTTTGAAAATTGACGCGCATTCTAATAATTTCTATATTAATAACCAAATATTTTATTTTTTATTTATTTATTTGTATTATAAATCTTGTAATGTAATATTTTTCTTACAGCTGTCAATAATACATTTTAAATTAAATGATATTATAAGATATTTTGAATTTGTTATTATTTATAAAATAAATGTAAACCATAAATTTTCATTTCAATATATAATATTGTAGTTAGTTAGATTGTAATAATTTTGTATTATATAGTTAGTTAGGTTGTAATAATTTGGTTTTTGTTTAGCGGATTAGGGTTTTCGCCAATTCGAGATTTTAGTGGCCATTTTTTCATCGCTTTAATCCATTATTTATTGTACTCTATGTATATACTATATCCATGATAAGTCTATGTTTTTTGTTTTATGTGATGCAAATTTAATGGTTAACATAAGTTCATACAGGGAAAGAAGATCTCAATATTCGCAAATTGATAAAAAAAAATGAAAGTTAATAATTTAATACCCGTATTTTTTTTTGGATTCTTAAAAAACAACATTTATAATGAATTTTAAATATTTTTTGGATTTTTTTTAAGGTTAATCAGACAGATTCGGCCGATTCCCGACCAGGATCGCCCATTCACCGATCCATATGGGTTTTTGGGGTGCCCGATCCGAGGCACCGATCCGTTTTTTAAACCACTGACACGGATTATCAAAATTCTCTTCTCAATGTCTATCTTTTTTTTGTTTTAACTTGGAATATGGTATTATATTGGTAATTTGGTATGGTTTTTACTTTTTTTCAAATTTCAACTGGCACCCGTCCAAATTCTAGGCGCCCGACTAGCACTTTTTGATCCACTAGGCCTTAGAGGTGGAATGTGATGCATCAAACATGGATATTGGTGCTGCCTTAAGCCAAAAAGGGCAGCCAATCACCTATTTAGGCAAGGAACTCAATGGAGCATAACAAAATTACTCGACCTACGATATTAAGCTCTATGCCACAGTCCAAGCACTGAAGTTTTGGAGACAGTACTTAATTCAAAGAGAGTTTATCTTGCATTCAAACCAATGGAGCCGTAAAGATTATCAATGCTCAAACGAAATTAGTTGGGAGAGATGCAAATAGGCAGCAGCATTTTTTTACAAGAGTATACTTTTGTACTCCAACACAAGACCGGTTGTAAAACAAAGTGGATGATGCTCCAACCAAGAGAGTTTATTTACTAAAGGCCATGTCATCTCTTTTTGTTAGATTGGAGGTGATTAAAGACTACCACAACACTGAACCCTATTTCCAAGATATTTTGGAAGTGACAAGCTCAAGATCAAAAAATAGTGACTGCATTCATGATTAGTGAAACTTGTCTCTTTAAAGGCCTCAAACTGTGCTTAGCCAAAGGATTATTTCCAAACAGAAATGGGAAAGTCTGAGTTTGGGAAATTCGTTGCAGAGCCTTTTGGGGGTGCACAAGCTTAATTTGCTTATAACAGTTCAATGAATAGGTCTGCTAGAAAGAGCCTTTTCGAGATCTTGTATGAGTGTAATCCAAATCACATTGTCGATGTCATTACCCATGTTGTGACAGCCATGTTAGTGATGATGTTCCTGCATATGCTGAAAATTTCAAGGAAATCCAAGAACAGGTCTGTTGGAAGTTGATAGAGATGAACCAAAGATAAAAAAACAATTAGCATTCGACATAGGAGATACAACGAATATAAAGTTGGAGACTGGGTCATGATGTTCCTTTGGAAAGACAGGTTTCCTACTAGTATTTATAATGAATTGAAGAACAAGAAGGCAAGTCCATGCAAAATAATATGCCAATTTTGGAAACATGCGCATGAAGTTAAACTTAGCTAGGACCTTGACATACCTCCCATCTTTAACGTGGGTGATCTTTATGGCTATCATGGTAATGTGGAGCCCTAAATGGAGTTCATTAGAGGAGAATTACATGATCAAATCCCAAGTAAATCACAAGAGAAAAATGAAACGGTGTTTCAAGTGAGGGAATCGAAACTCAAGCTGATATTTAGTACCGATACCTCATCAAGTGGGTGAGGAAACCTAATTCAGAAATCACGTGGGTAAAGGAGTTCACAGATAGAAGATGTTGAGAAATGTCAAGATACAAAAATGACAACTCGCATAGAGGAGAGTTCCTTTTAAAAGGAAGGAAATGATGGAAAAAAAATATGTTGGGTTGAGAACTTGGAAAAGTGGCGCAACTTTCCTATTCTTGACTTCTCTTTGGGGTGTTTTAGTTTTTGGAGGGATTCGAGACTATTTTGGACTATGGGGGATTTAGTTTTATGTGAAGGGTTATATTTGATATTATTTTAGACTTTTGCGGATTTAGATTATGTGAAGGATGAAGCTTAATATTTGGTATTTAACAAAAACTTAAGATTGAGGGTTGAACTTAAGGTTATGATATTGTCGGAACTTTTAGGTTTTTTTTTATTTTTTTCTTTTGGTGTTTTAAATACGAGTTCAAGGGAAGAAAGAAGAACTTTTGGTTATGGAAAATTACTTTGAGAGCAAGTCTCCCCACTAACTAGGGTTTGAGATATTGGTATTGAGGGCATTGAAGCTTGAAGCTCCAGATCACCACAATCACGTAATCACAGTGAATCGGCACATGAGGACTTGCCTTTTCCTTCGATCTAATTATTGTTCTCCTTTAACAGCAAGGATATGAAGGTATTGTGTAATTTCAAGTTGAAAATTGAATAATCTTTTTATTTCGAGAATTGCTAAGTGCACATACTGCTAGGTCTTGCATATTTTCTTGTTTGTTACTGCTCTTGCCTTTGATTCACATCAGATTAGGTGTAAGATTTGAGAGGAATTATGTTATGAAGTTGAAAGGGGGGAGAAAGAAGGGATGGAGGTTGAAGAGTATATGAACCTTGAGCCAACTTGGCACATATTCATCATGAGCCCTATACACAATAAAACATAGGAGAGCAATGAACTTAGAGGAGTCCTAATAAGACTCCAAGAATCCAAAAGGACTCAACTCCCTGCATATTTCAGGATTCACAAAAGGCCTGAAAATTAAAGTTGTATTTTTGCTGTCTGGCAAATATTTAACCCTATTTTATAACATTTGGATACCTATGCGATATTTCTCAGAAGTTCTAATGCTACTTGCTCCCCACATTTTAAACTGAAAAGATTCATTGGTATGTACTCAGTCTCTTTTTCAATATAACATATCCAGATATATACCCTCATTTAAAATGTTTCAAGCAATCTAATATCCAACTGTTCAACAATGTACATATCCAAAAAAAGAACAAATGAATGCTACTTTTCAATAATCGGACACTACTAAAAAACATAGAAAAGTTATGATACATACAGATGAGAGCGAGAGAGAGATTATTTTTTCATGTTTCTTGAGAGAAATAGGAGAAATAACTAACTGTGAAGTGCGACCAAATAGATTCCATTATCTTGATGGAATAAAATTCTCTCAGAAATAAAGAATTTTACTTTAAACCAAACTTTTTTTTGGGTAAGATAAATTCTATAATTTATATAAGTGGGTGAGATCTAACCATCAATAGTTAAACCTTATTATCATACATACTAAGCACAGCCATTCAAAAGTTTAAAGATCCATTTTAGAAAATGAACAGAATTAGGAATGACAAGTACAAAAACCTAAGTCTAAGTATAATGTAGTCCAAAAGCCAAGAGTCAGAATTCCTTTATTTTGTCAAGAATTTTATGTTTTTTATCTATTTTTTGAGTCTTTTTTATTCACTTAGGGGAATAAGTAGTGATTCCAAGAGTCTTTTATGTCTTCTTATTTATTTAAAGTCTTTTATAATAGGGTGTGATTTCTATTGGGTTGCAACCTTAAACAATCCAATTAAGGCACATCCCTAAATTTTATCATAACATGTAATTTTGGTGTAAATAATTATTAGGATTATCTCAAAAACTATTTTCATATTTAATAATAAAATTTTAAGCTCTAAAAATGGTTAAACAAGTAGATCTATAAACATATGAAAATCTTGAAAATGGACGGTCTAGATAATGTATTACAAGATGCGCTGTTTCTGGGATTCAAATTTTTTTTTCATATTCATACATCTCGATGTCGAGATGATCAATTAGAGGCTTTTTCAACATTAAAACAACCTTTTTCGATAGATTTTTAAGGTGCATCTGTAATTCTATATTTTAAGGTTGCAACCTTACATAAATTTTTTCCTTTATAATAAAAGGCCATCATAATTAGATTAGATGGATGGCCAGGATTAAGTCTTATTTAGGATTTTCTTATATGTTATTCAAAACCCGAAAGCAACAAGTGTTCCTTCTTTTACCTTTGGTTCTTGAAACTTTCTCTATTTCTGATCTTCCCTATCTCTAGCTCAAGCCAACCATTTTATTGAAATAATAGTTTCAAACAAGCAAACGGTTCGGAGACAACACCTAGCGTTCAATCCATTTGTTCTAGGAAACCAACAGCTTGAACTAAACTTCTGGTTCCCTAAAGGTAATTGATCTAATTGAAAGGAAAACCATGGCGCACAACCTAGCCATATAGAGAAACCAAAGTGCAAACGCTGTCAAGAAAAACATCTCTATAAAGGTTTGCAATCCTAACAACCAATGTGTTTCATGGGCATATCAAATAGATAGAATTTACGAGGAAACCAGAGGCGAACCCCAATACTATGAGGATCAAGATACTACAAACGCCTTACATTGAAAAACGCTAATACTACATGTCCAAAAACTAGTCAAATCACATATAAATAGAAATCCTTCGATATTGTGCACCATAAACAGACATTTTAATATGTATCTTCAATTCAAGAGTGCGAAAATTTACTCACGGTTTCGCTGTTGACACAGAGCAAGCAATCCCGGAATAGGGGAACAAGTTAAACACCAAGAGAGAGAGAGGGGGCTCTGGAAGGAGCCCAAGAAATAGAATACGTGGGTTTTTTAATTCCTTGAATTTCAAATCGCGGTGCAGCACAGGAATAGCGGGGTTCTGAAGTTCAGTTTTCCGCCCCTTCGTTTTGGCCGTGAAATTTTATAAATGGGAAAATTCATTCAAGGGTGTGGTTTGTATAAGGTTGCAACCTTAAACAATCCAATGAAAGCGCACCTCAAAATCTTCTCATGTAATTTAGGTGTTAAAAATTATTAGGATTATCTGAAAAACTATTTTCATATCTAATTATAAAATTTTCGACTTCAACACTAGTTAAAATCAAGTAGATCTATAAACATATGAAAATCTTGAAAATGGACGGTCTAGATAATGTATTGCAAGATGGCTATTTTTAGAACTCAAGATCTTTTTTCTTTTCATATTCATATATCTCGATGTCGAGATGATCAATTAGAGGGTTTTTCAACACTAAAATAACCTTTTTCAATGGATTTTTGAGGTGTATCTTTAATTCTACATTTTAAGGTTGCAACCTTATATAAAGAAAATGGACTCGAAACATGAAAATTCAGATTTTAAAAAGTGGAACATCTCATTCTTTGAGAGGTCATAGCTCAAGATCCCAATGTCAAATCGTTGTAAGTATGGGTCCGTTGCGACCATGCTTCGAAGAGCTACAGTTTGATATAATTTTTGTACAAGATCGGAGGCTGGATGACACCGAATTTTGAGGTCAAATAATGCATACTTTTCCAGTTGCCAGAATCTCATTTTTCGATGACTTCCCAAAATTGGAACATGCTCAAATGGAGACCAAAATGGACGAAATTTATCACATAATGATCGTGATATTATCCTCTTCAATTTGTCATCAAAATGAAGTCTTGGAACATTAGGGATCATGCCGAATCGGTGATCAAAGAATCACAAGTTTATGGAACTTGGCTGGATTTTGGGTTCTTCCATAAAAATCTGTTTTAAGACGCTCAAAGGGTATCAAAACATACGTAATAGTTCAAGCATCAATTCTACGATATTTGATCGCTCGAATTGCCACCGTAAAAGTTCGAAAAAGCTCCCCAAGCCTAACAATGGCAAGAGGCCCCTCATGGAGGAATGGTTTTGTCATTTGTTAAAAAGTATTGAAGGGTATTTTGGTCATTTTGGCCAAAAAGGGGATTAATATTTTAATTCATTAAATGTGTATTTTTTGACAATTATGGTTGTTTTTTAGCAATCCACCCTTGTTTTGGGGTTGCTCTATATGAAGAACTTATCATTTGTAAACTTAAGTTTTGAAACATAATTAAAAATTGAGTTTTTATCCCCTTCAAGCCTTTGCTTGTCCATAACTTCTAACTTCAAGAGAGAGTAGAGAGAAAATTTTACCACTTTGAGTAATTTCGCTTGGACCTCTCACGTCGAACTCCCAACTTCCAAACCCTCCATTTCCAACTCCCAACTTCCTAACCTCCTACTTCCAACTCCCAACTTCCAAACAACCCACTTCCAATTCCCAACGTCTAAGCCTCCTACTTCCGAACCCCCCACTTCCAACTCCTACTAGCCTTCCAAACTTCCTACTAGCCTTCCCAACTTCCTACTCCCTACATCATACACCTCACCTTATATCATCATACACTCTATCTCATACACTACCCTAACCCACTTAAGTCCATTCATCTTAGACCTAGACCCCAACTTTAACCCCAAAACTCAAGCTATCTCTCTAAGGAGCGCTCAAAAGGGCACTCACAGGCGTGCATAAGCCCAAGCCGGTCGAGGTCCACTCTCTCTCTCTCTTTTCTCTTTCTTCTCTCTCTTCTTTCTCTTTCTTCTCTCTCCTCTTTCTCTTTCTTCTCTCTCTCTTCTTTTTCGCTCTTCTATTTTTCTCTCTTCATTCTTTCTTCTCTTCTCTCTCTTGTTTACTTAAAAATGAGGCTCTTTGGGTTAATGACTTTTCAATGGGCTAAGCCCACGACTTTACTTCTTGAACCCTCTGATACCAAGGCTTCAAGCCTAATATCTTCCTTTGTCTCCGGTAACACCTCTTCAGCTGGAAGGCCGCCCAAATCCTAGGCCTCTTCGTCTTCTCTCTCTTCTTTCTTCTATTTTCTTTATCTTCTTCTCTCTCTTCTTTTTTTTTCTCTCTCTCCCTCTCACCCTCTATTACAAATCCGCACCAAGGGTGGTCTATCTCTCCATCACTCTTCTCTCTCTTTTTGCCCTCTCTCTCTCTTCCACTCAGACTCAGGGCGGGTCTGAGCCAGCCCTCTTGCTCTCTCTCTCTCCTTCTTTGCTCTCTCTGTGCTCACTCTCTCTCTCACCTAAAAAGCCCCAGATCTGCACCTAGGGCGGGCCCGTCTACCCTCCCTCTCTTTCTCTTATTCTCTCTCTCTTTCCCTCACCTAGTCACGGACCCACGCCCTAGGCGGGTCTGTCTAACCTCCCTCTCTATCTCTTTCTTGCCCTCTATCATCCCCTCTTCTAATCCATGGACCCACACCCTAGGTGGGTTCGGCTTGCCCTCTATATTCTCTCACCCTCTCTCTCCCTACTAGGTCATGGACCTGTGCCATAGGCATGTCCGTCCCTCTCCCTCTATATCCTACCCTCTCTCTCCCTCACTCATGCCCTAGACGCACAGACCCGTGCCATAGGCAGGTTCCCTCTACTCACATCTCTCTCTCATCATCTCTCCACTCTTCCCCCTAAGCACGGACTCGAGCCATAGGCGGGTCCACCCTCTCTCATCATCTCTCTACTTCTCCTCTCCCACTCCCTCACTTCACTCTCTCTAACTCTCATCCTTCAATCGTCTATCTTTGTCTATTCTCTCTCAATCATTCTTTCTCTCACCTCTCATTCACCCACCCTTATTTCATCATTTTTTTATTTTCTTCTTTCACTCATCTCTTCTCTCACCCTTGAGCACTCGAGCCGAGGTCCTCATGAGATAGTTTCTTAGGGTTCTAACTCTCAGGTTGCTACTTTAACCATCAGTTCACATAGTGTTTTGAGTGGTAAGAGACACAGATTCTCTTGCACTCGATCACTCGGGCTAGGGTCATCCTGAGACAGCTTTCTTAGAGTTTTAACCTTTGGACCTATCTAACCACCAGTTTACATAGTGTTTAGGTCATGAGGGATCTCTGTCATTCTTTCTCATTTACTCTCTCACTCTCTTCTCTCTTATATACTCTCTTCTTATCTTCTTCTTCCTTTTATCTTAACTATCTACTTTCTTTTCTTACATTCCAGTCTCTCTCTTTCATCTCGTATAAATCTACTTCTCTCAAACTCTATCTTTCTAAACTCGGACAGCTCTCATGAGGCCCTTCGAAAGTGATTTCACGATAATCTAGAAATGTAGACCTCACTCCCCAGCTTCGGAAGTGATATCTCGATAGTCTAGAACTACGGACCTCACTCTCTATAATCCTCTAGAGTGCTCTTGACTTTGGTCTCAAAGTCAAGGGACCTTTCCAATGTTCCCGGTTACCTCCTTCTAGAAGGGATGCCAGAAAGATCTCTGAGTTTTGAGAGGCCTTCTCTTTCTTATATTCTCACTCCTTTCTCATAACATCTCTTATTTCTCTATTCAACTTCTTCTTGGTTACTCATTACGAGGCCTATATAGAAGTGAGTTCTCAATAGACTAGAACTATGGACCACACTCTCCTGAATCCTGTGGGATACTTATGGCCTCCAAGCCCAGTAACTTTCTTGTTTCCGGTAATACATCTTGGGAGAGGTGACACTGGAAGGATGCCCAATTTTTGGGTCAGTTTCCTCCTTTTTTTTCTCTTCTTCTTCTTCTCTATCCACTTTCAGCCCCTCTAACCCGTAGACTAGACCCCCAATCTATCATATAACTATCAATAGGAGGAGATCCCAAAAGTTATACATTAAAGGCCATTTTTAATGTATGGATCCAAGTGCTGTGTAGTGAAGCGAGGGAGCCAAATTCAAACCGCGATGTAAGGACAGCTAGAGGCCTTTCAAAATGATCTAAGAGGGCGAATAGCCCGGACTTGTCTCTCGAACCCAAAACGACAAGGTAGGTGCTCAAGCCCTTCTTTGTCGATTACAAGATCTCTTTGTTGGTTCCAATCCGCACATTATACGCACACACACACAAACGCAGGCGTGGGTCCCGCAGTTCTTCGAGAGATGATTCCTTTGACAGGATGACAGGAAATCAGGTCCGACCAATGTGCACTATTTAAATCTAGCTGCAAGTTGATCTTTGGATTTTTAAAGTATCTATAGCAAAGAAAAATAAGTTCATTGGCCATAATAGTATTGTTTGTGATCAGTCTTCCCCTTAAAAATGTTGTTTGCCTAGGTTCCATCACGTCCCATAATACTTCCCTCAATCGATTGAAGATAACTTTGCCTATAATTTTATAAAGAACATTACAAAGACCAATTGGAAGAAAATATTTCATAACATTGGGAGTGTTTACCTTAGGGATGAGATAAATAAAGGTTGAATTTATTTGTTTCAGGAATTTTCCCTTTTTGAAAAAATCATGTAAGGCTTAAAATATGTCTTTTCTTATGACCTCCCAACTGAATTTGTAAAAATTCCACACTAAAATCATCTGGGCCTAGGGCAATCTCACTTCTCATATCCCAAAGATATATTTTGGGTTTTTTCCAAAGTAACATCTGCAATAAAATTTTCTTGTTACTGTAGAGTTAGAAGAATAGAAGGAAGAAATTGGTCTACCAAACGAACATCAACCTCACTCTCCTGAGAAAGCAAGTCCTCAAAGACATCTACCATATGTTCTCCACTTCCATCTTCTAAAACAAAAGGAATCCGATATTCATCTTTAAGCAAAGTTATCGTGTCACTCCTCCTCCTGACAATGGTGGACAAATGGAAAAAACAGGTATTAGAATCACCATCACGCAGCCATGTTTATCTAGACTTCTGCTTCCAAATACTCTGTTAAAATAATAAAATTTTATGTAAATCATTTGGAAAAGACTTCTCCTTTAACATAATCTCCTCATTAAATGGATCCCAGCTCAAACCATCATGTAGAATAAACAGCTGCTGACAGATAGTAGAAATTTGAAAACCAACTGTTCCAAATGATTCATTATTCGAAACCCGCATATCTT